CAAAATGGCTGATTTTGAATGCATGACATGGTTATATTCCAGCTATATTACTATAAACATAACTATATATCTCAAATTTGATAACTAACGGGGACTGTGCCATGCATGGCTTGTTTTAGCTAGAATTAATTTTTGCTGAAAAGACATTTGGGGTGTTTTGTATGGAACTTATTTTAACAGTTTTTTTGACAAGTAGAATGTAAAATGTAGGACAAAAAGGTATATTTGCTGGATTTTATTTTCACTGAATCATTCCTTCAACGAAAATAGCGAAAATTAATTTCAAGCGAAAATAAAGTATTTTACAGTACATCATTATGCTGCATTGTGAATGAGGCATCATGGGAATAAACATAATATGCTTCATTGTTACAGGGTCAACCACAGGTGGTGAGCTACTGTCAGATCTACATAGTCGTCATATGATGGAACGTGAATACCTGCTGTCAAAACTACGAATGGAAAATGATAAGACATTGAATAATGCTGAAATCATAACTGTGTATGTCCAAATTATCCGACAACAAAAGTATGCAGAGAGTGAAGCTTTGTTTGAAAATTCCAGCATTGCTGTCGGAATCGCTGAAAGACCTCAGTTATTCAAAAGTTCAAAGTGAGTTTGAAGCATATACTAATAATCAATAATCAATGCATATATTATTAGCTGATTGGCGGCCATTTTGTCGCATTTGGTTTTACACTCACAAAACAAGAGGCATTTCTCTGTCATATGTGGGGAAGAGTCAAGCTACTGTAAAATGACAAATTTTCACTGGGTTTAAATTTTACTGATTTAGCATTTCAGGCATATTCAGTGGGTTTTAAATTCACGGTTTTATCATTTAGATAATGTGTTCTATGCAAAATTTTACATATTCACTGGGTTTTAATTTAGCGCATTTTCCAGTCAGCGAAATAAGCAAAATTAAAACCCAGTGAATGATTAACCCCTTTACAGTATTCTGGTAATTACATTGATCGTGACAATATTCAATCTATTATTGCCACTTAGGTTCGACAGCGATCGTAACAGGCAAGAGAAGCTAGCAATTGAAAGATTACAGAACTGGAAAAAAAGAAAAGTACAGAGATTTGAAGATGAAAGCATCACAGATAATAAAAATAAAGGAATCGTTGAGTTACAAGTAGATGTCATCAAAATAGCTGTACGAAAACACACTCACGAAAGGGAGGTTAGTAATTGTCCGATTTGTGCACGTTAGAATAACAAATAGTTTATAATTTCTATTATGTTCATTGCTGATTTTTGACTCCAGTATCTCTAAAATCAGTTATTGCATTTCAATAAGCCTTGGTAAATGACGTGTTTGAAAACAATTCTATGGGCCTGATTAGGTTTCGATTGAAATTCAAGTGCATTGTATACTAATTGCTTAATTTGCATAGAGATACTGGTAATATGCATAATCATCATCACTTTTCATTGAACTTTGGTTCATAGATGCTCTTAGGTAATTCACAGACATGATAGTTTAATGATAAAAAACATGTATACCGGTATTGACTATCTAATTATTATAGGCCAATTTCTGATATCTCAAAAAATCAGATTTAAATTGAACTTGTGGTAGAGGTGCTCTGGAATAAATTAGATTGGAGATGTAAAATCAAATTTTTTAATATCTCTCTGATACTCTCAGCACACACGAGTTCTTTCTAAGCTTTCTTTTTTTCTATTAGATCCTTATCACTATGCTGCAAGGTAAAGAAAGTTCAAGCGCTAAAACCGCTGGAAGACGACTAAACAAAGAACAACGTGAGAAGAGACTTAAAGAACTGTGTGGACAGAGATCTGATTGGCGAGAGTCGTCATCTCAATACATGATATCTAAACGTAACTTACATCGACGCTTACTGCAAGAAGGTGTTGGAATTTACCAAGAAGTCAGGTATGATTGTTTGAACGGTTATTCTACATTTATTTGATGGTGAGGTGTTGATTAAGTTTTTTTAATCTACTTGGCATCCATTTTGTTTTTGACAAATTCTGTAGTTTCTACTCTAGATTCATGTGTTGGTTTAGTTACAAAGAGTAGCAAGGAAGTCCTATTGTCCACATCCATAGCTTGGGCATGTGTTGTTAGATTACCTACAAACTTGGTGGATGAGTAACCATTACTAGAGGTCAATGCATGTCACTTTGATTTGTACTCAAAATGACTGTTCCTATTCATCTATTATGGAATAGAATAGAAAATTGCTTTATTACAACGTTGACGAAAATTTGACAATTGTAAAATTTTTTTTGGTTTTTACACATGTAGAAGGGAATAAAGCTAAAAACAAAACAAAAAGTGTGACAAACAAACAAGAAAAAGTAATAAGAAACAAGTATTATGGTGACTCAAGTACTGCGACATCAGATACTTTTTGCACATGTTCAAATAATGTTTATCTAGAAAGTGGTGTTACCTGTGGATTCTGGGTTGCACTTTGTGTGCCATATTGTTTTTTTTTTACCCCACATTAAAAAAATAACACCAGAATCAAAAAATAACACAGGGTTAAAGTTCACGTTGTGTCGATTAAATACAGCATAGTTTTACCACAGCTAAAACAGTGGGACATTTCGATATCACACTTACTTATAAGATAATGTGTGCTATGTAGTTGACATTCTTGCTATAACAAGCATGATACCATATTTACTATATTAGTAGTGCATGCGTTCACGTAAGAAATATTTCTATGGTCAAAATAAATTTTAGTATACAACAAATGTGATTTTTTTATATGTGCTTCTAATAGAGTAAATATGATATCTTTCATTGTTACATACTGTACATAATTTGTGTATACCCATGGTGAAAACTCTTTATGGACTACTTACTGTTAATTCACTTATTTTCACTGGCATTTAATTCCATTAATGATTTGAGTTTCAAATTCACAAACTTGGCTGGGAAACAATGAGTCTATTTTTATTCTACATGTTCATATGGATTTAATTTAGCAAATTTCACTTATCAGCAAAAAATAGGGAAATTAAAACCCAGTGAATAATTAATGTATTTACAGTATGTTACTTTAGCTGGAATTAATTTTTGCTGAACAGACTTTTTGGGTGTTTTATGTGGATTTTATTTGCACTGATTTTTGGTGAGTTGAATGTAAAATATATGAAAAAAGTATATTCGCTGGATTTTATTTTCACTGAATCATTCTTTCAATGAAAATAGCGAAAATTAATTCCAATCGAAATTAAAGTATTTTACATTATGATGATTACCATGTGGTATACAATGAATTTCAACTCTAAATAAAATTTGTATGTTTGCAGACGTGAAGAAATTAAGAATGGTCATAACCTGGATGATTTATTGATTTCTGCCAATGTATTAGCTGATTTACAACAAAAACAAGACCGAGAAATCAACCTCCTTTTGACAAATATGCAGAATAAGGTAAAGGCACTTGCATCACCTGATCTTAAACAAAAGAAAGTTGTTGAATGTGATGTACAATTTTACAAAAATTAATACATA